GTGTGTGTGTGTGTGTGAGAAGTGTCGGACTCCAGGGACGCCCTGATAAATTCAGTCAAAGTCACTTGTTTGTCAAGGTCCCCTACAGTGGCCCTAATTTTAACCATGTGTTCAGCCCAGGTGTCAATGCACCATGCTGCGTGGAGAATTAAAATAGAGTTGATGTCGTTTGGGGAGAGGACTTCATCCTAGATATCTCACCTCCAGCAGCTGTTGGCTGACCCAACCATGAAGCATCGCCGAAATACCTCGGAGCGAGCCATCCGCCGCCACTGGATTATCTCCCCCCGTAATGTGCTTTGTGGAAATGACTGGTGAAGAGTGTTTAAAAGGGCAATGGGTGTTTTATTTTTTATTTCTGCCCTGTAGCAAAAACAGCAGGGACTTTATCTGTCAGTGACTCAGCAAAGGCATTTCGGCTCCGACGGCAGCCGATGTGTCTTTGAAAATGCGCCGTAATTAGCCGGAGTTCTGCCGTCATGTAACAACTGTTTGTGTCGCTCACAGGTCAGCGGCGCTCGAAGGGGAGGACGAGGCTTTTCTGTCAGATTTGTGCGGATAAAAAAAAATAAAAGGTGAGTGTCAAACGCAGTGATTCAGATGAGGATTTAAGGACCGCTACGTTGTCTCGGAGAAACGAGACGGAATCAAAGAAATGGAGAACTTGATTGGGTTTCTCACAGTGGCAGGCGGGAAAATAGAGACGAAGTCGTCGATCCCACCTGCACACAGCATCCATATTAATTAAGACGTAATGCAATGTAAAGCTCATTTAACACTAGTTCTGTTTCCTGTTTGCTGGTGAGCCAATAAGATGTGTGGTTTTCATACTCGGTTCAGGTACCTTCAGCCATCTGGAGTCATAGATCTAGTCGTGGACTTCAGGCCAAGATGAGTCACGGAAAAGACAAGAAGGCTCAGAAACACATCCTGAGATGGTTGTTAGGAATAAACTTGTGTTTGTTTTAGACTTTTACACAGTTTAGGAAATGCAGCACATTTATTTACTTCTGTGCCAAGAGTATAAAGGATTATATGCTGGATTATTTATGAGCAGAAATATAAATTATGAGTGAGCTTGTTGGTATAGAAAACTCACACACAAAT